TGGCATGTGCTAAATTTATGGAAACCATTTTTATTTTGAAAAGTGGTGTTTTAGAAATGTTTACTGTTCTTATTTTATCAACATAAATATTTTCTACAATCAAGTAAGATTAAAATATATAAACAAACTTATTATTATGACAGTATAAAGATCCGTAAGACTAAAAATGAATTATAGAGATTAATACATTTTCAATTATAAAGATTAATATATTTTCAATTCCTCCATTATGCTTATCACACACAATGTCGGTGATCACCTGGTAATCCGGGAAAGTTAAAACAAACATTAAAAGCATTCGTAAATAATGCGTGTGCATGTTAAATTCTGGCTATGCGCTCTTCGCGACTCGCTCTAATGAAACCTTAAAACCGCGTATCGAATGTCGGTCGCCTTAGGGAGATCCCGGGATGGATCGCGAATGCAGAAAAGGACGAAGGCCCCTCGCATCCGGATACGTTCCTGTCCTGTCGCTCGTACGTCAACCCTCGTTGTTTTTTTGCCGCGCTCTTAATAATTGATCATCTGATTACGATACATTATACCCTCCCTATCCCTCCCCCCCTTCGTTCCTGCTTGGGAGCGTACTGTCGGAGGGCATTATTCCCTGCACCGAGAGAAGTGGCATCGGGACAGATAGAGAGAAGGAGAGAGAAAGAGAGAGAGAGAGAGAGAGAGAGAGAGAGAGAGAGAGAGAGAGAGACGGCGAGAGGCAGCAGGCGCGAGAGAGGGAAACTTTTTCTTTCCGCCGCGCCCGGCGACGGACGGCCATTTGCATATAGGCCCCCTTATCGACAAACACACCGGGGGCGCCCTTCGTAATGAGGGCCCCCGCCCTTCGTTCAACGTCCCTCTTTCCTTTATTTTTTCAACGTGGACCGCCATTGTCCGTTAACTCATTCGTCGGGACAGCGTGGACCAGTAGTATCTCCGCTTCCTTCCTCGTTATTTCGGTCTCTCTTCTCCTCTCGAGCTCCTTCTCTCGCTCGCGCTCATTGTACGAGGACGCAGTAGCTTGTGTTACAAAAAAAAAGGAATGACAGAGATAAAGGGTGAGAGGAGTGGAAAATAACAAAACCGGTCGGTCACACGTCGAAAAATATGAATCGTACAGATAGAGGCGGATGCGTTGGTGCTAGTCTCTCGTGACATCTGCTTCCTGGAATAAGTGCAAAAAAAAAAAGATCCAAAGAGATCTCGCGATCGTTTTTGCCGCCGTATATAATTGTAGCCGTGACAGCATGCGGATAATACCCTACCGCTCGATATCGTTACCGTCAGTAATATAAAGGATGAAAAAGAAAATATTTCATACACGTAACAAATCATGATCCCCCACATCTGACTTCCTGATTTTTTTTTCCAGTTCTTATTTTAGCAAGATCTTGAGAATAAAATACACAATAGCAATACGTAAAAATCCGATGTTTTACAATGAACGACATACTGTCACAGATAATATTGAAAAATATCTCAGGGGGTTAAAATTTTTAATGGGTTTGATGTTGGCATTCTTTCCCTAAAAGAATGTCAAAAGTCATCATTTGTCACAATCTTTTAGTATCAGCACACATTAAAATTTTAAAAATATATATATCTCAAAATAAATATCTATTAAAATGAGATATACTTGGAATCAGACTTTTGTTATCTATTCTTATATTACTGCCGTAAATTTATGCACAAAAATTCTTTTATTTTTAATATAATATATTTTTGTAATTAGACTTCTCTGAAAATTTGAGAAAAAAACAGGTCAAGAAACTAGATCAATGAAAAGACTAATTGCAAACTAGTTTAAGATAAAAATTTGTTATTAGAGTTTACTGCATGTTTATAAATGGTTTATTAATTTGATTGTGGTATTTATTTATTTTTTAGTCTTGCCTGCTAAGGATGTTAATTGTTTCTTAAAATTAACAATACTATTAGCAAGTCGATTTTGCAATTAGTACGTTTTCGTCGTCATATTATACTAGCAAAAGTCTTTCCGTGTAATGCACCTGGCATCTAACAAAGATCGGAATTCCACAATTATCTGTAATTTCCTAAATTGCGGGCATTAAATTTGAATTACGCGAAGAGAATCAGAGGGATGTAAACCTAGTGATTTCTCGAATCTTGAGGTTCTTAATGGATCGCGCGCTAACGATGCGGTCTCGCTTTTCAAGATTGAATGTTCACGAAACACGCGTCGTTAAAACATATTCTTGTAACGAGTATAATAACTCATCTATAATTATACCTATCAACGATACCTAAACATCATCGATCATGTCTCATTCTGTTCGAGTTTTTTTTTTTTACGAAACGTTTTAATTGCTAAAACAATATTCGTGTAACAGTAAAATTAATAATATACCTAACTCAATTTATTATTTGTATATTTCAAAAAATTATGAGTGACATTCTCATTTTACAATTTATCGTATCCTCTTCGTATACATGAATATTAATCAGTCTATGTCATATTTATCAGAGGATTGTATCTCTGATTTTACAAACAGTGTTGTCGATATTTATTAAATTAACGAGACATATGCAAAACTATTGCTTTCTTCTTTAAATCATCCCTTCTCGGATCACTACAAACAGATAATCTGCTTATTAGATTAATTATTGTGAAAAAGTTGTATTTCACATGTATAGAGTGTAAATATAGTTGATTTAATTCATTCTTCTTAATATATCTCAATATTTCGTATTTAGCCATTTGGTATTTAACCATTTTGTATTTGTTCTAACTATGCTGTTAAATATTAAAGATTGAAATTTAAACCAATACCTTGAGTAAAAAATAACATTTTGTCATTTTTAACTACTATGTGTGTCAAAATTTATTATTTTAACCCAAAGCAGTATTATTTTAACTCCATTGGTTTAATTACATTACATTAACATTAACATTGTTTTAATTAAATTAATCAATTAATATATGGGGGAAAGCAAGAGCCGACCTAGAAGAATGATTAAAAATGACTTAAATTGAGCATAATTTGACACTGCAAATTTAACTGACAGTGCAAGCTATCTAAATAAGTATCTTCGCGAGGATCCAAGAAATAGGTATATAGTAGCGCGGATGCTACCGTGAGTCGCAAGAGAATCATTTGCAACGTTGTTCGCACGAAGTTGCACGTACGAAGACGCAGCGGCGTTCTCGTTCCCTCGAGATCGATCGTTAACCGGCATTGTTACCCAACTGTCAGGATAATCTGCGGTGGGAATCACGAGCTGTGATAGATACGAAGAAGCGGGCTCGTGTGTCCGGCCCAGAGGCGGCTAGGGCAGGTGCGACTTTCAGAGGAGAATAATTAATATTCAGCGAGGAAAAAGTGGGCGAGAGAGAAAGGCCCCGACGATGGGCCTCCTCTTATAAACAGTTGACGCGCGTTAGCGACTGAGGTGCGCGCCGCTTGCTGGCCGCTTGCTCTGTGGCACCTGGTACCACCGTACATAAAGAAGGGATGAGGAAAGGAAAGAATATCTCTTCTCACCAATTACGTCTATTACGAACGGACGCTCGGTTACCGTGATCATCTAAACCCAAGACCGCTTAACTTAATTCGAAAATTATGCATCGGCGCGGTGAAATGATACAGCGCGACGGGTCGTCTGCGTGCGTTTCCGTTATTAATATCAAAAGTGTCTCACCTTCCGGCGCGTGCGTCGACTAATTTATGTCGCTCGCGCGCGACGGTTCGTATTCCCGCGCCCTGTAAAAAACACCCTCGACTTTCTCTTATCGAATGCGATACGCGTGTCTATACAATTGGAAATTTGTTTTCTAATTTCCATTCGAATATTAATTGGTATTTCTTTTATTTGTCTTCTAATTTGCAGAAAATTTTACCGTGAAAAATTTTCGGCAAGCATCACATTTTATTCGCACATCTTTTTCGAATTTCCAGTATTTAAATATTACTCGAACTAAAGTTCTGTGAGAATATATAAAGAATAGGATTTTATCTCAATCTATTTTTTTTTCTTAAAGCTTAATTTGTGACGGTAACTAAACGCCCGGTATATCCACGAAGCACTAATGATGATAACAGTCTACGCGAGTATCGCAGCACGCTTAAAAACGTCCTATTACGAAGCAGGTTTACGAAGCCCGCCATCGCGATTCCCGCATCGTCATCCTCAATGATATCATTATCGATAATCTAAATAAAAAACAGATGATCGGCCCCTGCTTGTCAACGGAGGTATCGTCCGATCGTGCCGCGCCAGGAACTGCAGCTGCAGAAAACGAGGAAAACTTGTGATCAGATAAAGCGTAAAAGCAGAGGGCGGTATAAGGGAGTCCAGAGGGAAGGAGATAAAGAGCGTTCGTAGAGAAACGGAGAAGTACAAATTACAAGCACCCGGAACCGTTCTTGCGGCCGTGTTAACTTTCGTCGCGTGCCTTCAGGAAATACCTCAACTTTTGCAGCCACGTGCGCTATCGTTGGGGTATTATAAACTTTCCATCGTTCACCTTTGTCCTCCGCCTGCCTTCGCCCATCGTTACGCGCGTCCGCGATAAAGTTCACAAATTACCTATGCACTCGACTTTTTCATAAACAAAACGCTTTTGTCATTGAAAGGATTTATTTTTTTACAAGCTTTTTTATAAAAAAAAAACTCATTATTTTATAATTAATACATTGTTAATCTGATTTATTCAGCCGGTTCTATAACTATAGTAATGGTTTTCTCACATAATAATTATATAATCAATATCCAATAAATATACCGTCTTTAATTAATTTGATAAATCGACGTTTAAGGACGTCTCATAACTGTAATCTAAATAAAACAAGTGCGGAAATATATAATTGCAGAAGCATTTGAGATTTACGATTATATTTTATTTTGTGATTATAATTTATAGTGATTATTATTTAATTTGCATAATAACACAAGATTAGTCACTTTTTAAATTTTTATAAGATCAAATTTACTCGACTCTATAACGCAATAATTATGCTAGCATAATTGTGCTTTGCATTTTTCAGGTACGAAGCCGTGGATCGGCTATTTCAAGAAGTAACGAGCGCCTACAGAGACCCGGAGATCGATTGGATGTTAGTGTACAATGCAGGTTCCACTATAGATGACACTGTTCTACCCGAGCATGTGACGGAGCCCAACGATCTCGATCGCTTGATCAATGGAACGTTCAGACTATTTTTGACGGCTCTCCCTACATCTCCAACAATCGTCACCATAGCCAGGTAAATCACTTCTGCAATGTATGCACAATATTTTCTCTTATTAGACATTCACAAGAAACTCGGTCAGAAATTTACAAGTTTATCAAATAAATAACATTCCTTTCTGCAGTAAAATAGTATTTACAAGATTTATCGGAAAACATGTAAAAATTACATAACTATAGAGTATATAGTTAATATCTTCAATCAATTCTTCTTTATTGAATCTGTTATAATCAAATGATTTATAAAGACACATATATAGCGATCTTTCTACAAAAGTCTTCCTCGTTATACAGATACTTTTAGATATGACATGAACTTAATTATGTGTAAGCTTTTAATTTCTGTGTAATTTTTCCATTTACTAAATACTAAAACATTTACTTAAAAAAAGCTACTACAATATAAAATTGGATTAATGTACGAGATTATATTTTACACTGTGCTATTAAAGTATGATACCATGTGCGCTTGCTAGTAATACAAGCTGGGAATAATTGCACGTGTGATAAATTAGCAGATGCAGTTGAGCGTGCAAGAATCGTTTTGTGGTAATAGAGTCGCGCGCCTCTTAAAGGTGGAGGAGCAAAATTAGCGATCGCGGTAACGTCTCGTGTACATACCGACAATTAAAAGTTGTCGGGTCGTATACAAATTGGCTTTAATTTACGGTTTTCAACGACCGAAATTATATTGTCCCGCTTTTGCGAAATCGAAGCCCGCAATGCTGCAGATGGCGCGGAAGAAGATGTTGGGTGGGCACGAAATAGAGAAGAAGGGCGGCTTATATAGGGACGACACGGCGGGGCTGTCCGAGGGGTGGGTTCAGGTTCGTGGGTATACCGTTAAGCCCCACCCTCCAAATAGACAAGGGTGGGTTTCACGTAGGGGTGCACAAAATCAAACCATCCAACTTTCGCGTTTCATAACTAGATGTCCCTACCTTCGATTTCCTGAAGTAAATGCTGTACATTTCTTCTTTTCAGCTTTCTATCTCACATAATGAACTAAATATTAAAGATAGAACGCTAACAATATTAATTAATATCGCAAAAAGAAATATGTATATCTTATCGAAGAATACATTACTTTTTTATATCTTATACTGTCTTTTTTAAATAATCTTTTTCTGATAGTATTTAATATGAACATGTTTTGAATTGTAGTTATTGTGGTAAATGCATATTTTTATCTTAATACACAGAGCTACCGTTACATATATATAACTATATATGAAATTCATGAATTTTAAAGTAAGTGACTTGGCGCCATCTGGCAACGAATGTACGGAGATTCTGCTCAAACTTCCGGCAGGAGCTGAAAAAAAATCGATTCCACCCCATTCGACTTGCTTCCACCCTTCGCTGTTTCCCAACCCCCATTTCAGCACATTAGTTTCCGTAGGAGACGCGGAAACGCTGCCGGATATCGTCTCTGGACAGTTTGCAGTTTCTCTTGTAGTTTGCCAAACGGCGATTAAACAATCAGCGACAAAAATTGACGAGGGGCGAGATAGAAAATAAAAGAAATGTTGAATCGGCGAAAAAGTGAAAATAGCGGAAGTAAAAGAATGGAGAAAAAGTGAAGGAGAAAATAAATAGAAAGTACGATTCTTTTAACGATCTACTTTTACGTTTGGCATTTCTTTTCTTTTCTTTTCTTTTCTTCTTTTTCATTAAGCTTTTTTATAATAGCAATTAATTGAATACTTGATAAATGTGAATCTTGCTTTTCTTTAATATCGATTTCTTTAATAAATATAGAAAATTATTTTATATTGGAGAAAATAATAGTTTCTTAAAAAATATATTTAAAAAATAGTTACCACAAAATGGTTTTGAGTAGTGACATATTATCACATGGCAGATATTCTATCAAAGTCTAAGGATAGATAGAATAAAGATAGATGTGTTTTTTTATTAACTACGTTTATGATTAAATTAATAATTCTTTATTGCAGATCTAGTGAGGACGATTACACTCCTCTCGAAAGCGTTGATCAAATTCAAGTTGACGTTCTCGACCAACTTCGCGAACGACTGGGACCGGAAATAGATATTAAACTGATTTATCAAGACGAAGAACCACAATAATTTTTAAAAAAGGATGTAAGCTTTTATTCTTTCCTTTTATCCTTTATAATCCCGTCTTGTCAGATTGTCAAATAAAGGTATAACCAGCAAATTCGTTTTTTGCTATTAATTACATAAAAATATGTGTACAAGCATATCCTCCGCATTAATTTTTTTATAAAATTATTCAATAAATTGGCATATAGTAAGTACAAACAGTATACAACAAGGATAGTTGACTGAAAAACCTATTAGATTAAAATCATAAGTTAATATCGATTAGCAGTTATGAATGATATACACAATATTATAAAATATTCAGATGTCATTCGAATCTCTCTCACACGATCGCACAATCGTCCCTCGTAGCAATTATAATGTTTCAGACAGTATTGAAGCGCATCGCGCGGACTTCTCCGAGATTCGTAGATTGTAAAGCAGATACGACGAGGAAGGGACGTGACGACGAGTCCTTTGATCGCACTGCGGCGATTTACATAAGATCAGTGCCACTGGTCCACTGTGGGACGCGAGACGCGAGCATAATGCCGATATGAAGGTTGCTGCTTTTTTTTTGGCAGCGAGAGTAGCCCCCTACCCTCTTCGCCGATCTTCGTTCCACGAGTCTCAGATTTGCATACCTTGGGCCAGTTTCCCACACGTCTCAACGAGCTTCCGTCTCGTCTCGGTCTCTCCTCTCTCGCTTCGCATCACTCGCGCTTTCTCTCTCGCCCTTCCTTCGACGTTCCGCGCAACCCTTTCAGCTGCTAGTATAGACAAAAACATCGGAGTGCCCAAAAAAATAAACGTCTTCCTTCTCCCACGATCGTGGCGTTTCCTGGTGAGATTGCTCTTAAGACGTGTCTATTGTGAACATAACACACAACGAGTTTCGGAGTAGTCGATATCCCTTTTTTTGCACATGGTTTGAAACGATTGATGAAAGCGGAAGACGCGAGCACCCGCCGTACAGCCTCCTCGAGATAGATTAACCGCGTAGTTTTAATGTTGTTGACACTAATAAGTGTTATTAGAAATATCTCTTTTTGTATATTAACTAATTGATCTGACAAATTTAAATTTTATTATACCGTAATAAAAGATGCAATCTTATATAAAACATCTTAAAATAGAGTAAGAAAATTGTATGTTAAATGTGCACTTGTAAAATTAGATAAAACGTTTTCCAAATTATTTCTTAATTATATTTTTCTTTCTGTCAATTTCTTTTATAAGAGACACAAAATGAGAAATACAAAATTTTCTGGGCGTATTGGAATTACTTTTTGTACTTAGATGGTTGTCGGTTTTGCCGGAATTAACATGAAGCGGGCAAGGTGAATGCGGAAGTGCGGTCGCGCGACTAAGGGGCGAACGTTAAGGAACAACCGCAGGGAAGGAGGGGCGAGAGTTTACGAGTCGCCAGCCTCCCAAGTAATGATTGTCGTTAACCGCCGCGCCGCGCGCCGTACGGGCCGCTCGCTCGGCCCGCAGCCCGAGAGACTTTTGTATGCTAATGACAGGGTGGTCCGATTTCATCCTACGGCCGAGTAAAAAATCTTGGGGGTCAACAGACCCATCGTTAGCCCCGAGTTTTAAGTCTCCCTCGAGCGTCATTGACCTCGAATTAAAAAACGGGTGCGACCTTCCGTCCCGCCGACTCCGTCCCGTCCGGAAATTTTACAACAGGAGTCTCTCTCTCTTTCTCGCCTCGTAATGTAACACCTCTACTTATTTACATTTGCCTCTTACACTTCGTCTCGCGGATACGCGATCGTCTCAGATGGTGGATTTTACGAGTTGAGAAAACAAGACGAGATAAAGGCCAATTGTGACTTTTCCAAATTTCCGACTTTATAAAATGTCTTTTTTCTCTCTTTCTCACGAGTATGAATTATGTTAGGCTTATGTGATTGTCTCTTTTAATCGAGAAATACAAATACTCTTTGTACGGATAGATAAATACATAAATTTATTTAACTTTGGAAAACACATGATTTATTTAGAAGTTAATATATCCTTTTATTTAAATCTTAATAATAGATATGTATCGAATCTCTAAACAAAGAATTATATGCACATTGTGTATAATTTTAGTGCAGGCTGAAGAAATTAGTTAGTGTTGAAATGTTCAAGACACTAGTATGACGCGACGGGATAACAGAATAAATTAATTAGAAATTCTTGTTAATACTTTTGTCATCCAGGTTACAGCGAATGTAAATATTGTTTTAACGCGCGCACAGACTCTTTATAATTCACAATTTTCTCTTCTCTCTCACGGTCGTTCGCATTTCATTCATCCAGGTGACACCGTGTCAGTGGGTTCTAAGGGAATTATTCAAAACCAGCCCTGACTGGCAAAAGTGCAGCCGCCCTGGAACTGTAATCCCATACCCGTATCTAATCTGCATAAAAGAGAAGAAAAAACGTCGCGCGGGAAAAAAAACAAAAGCGCGGAGGAATTCGCCCGATAGGCTCTGCGAAATAAATTAACATAAAGCAAAACCGCTGTATTTGTATTAAAAATTCCGTCTAAGGTAACGAATAAACAAAGCTATTAAAAATTTTGAATTATTAAAGAAATTCTAAAGTGATTCAATATATTTGTAGTTTTTCTATACTCTTTTGGCATTGTTTCCAGTGGCTGTAATAAAACTTCGTCTTATATTGATCTCCTCCTTTTATTATCTAACATATATTTTCAAGAATTCGCTGCGTTTATCAATTTTACAAAAAACTTGAGAATTATGTCACACGAAACAAAGTTATTTGTATTTGTATAATTAGCAGCGGTCGCGGATGCTAATTAAAAAAATCTCGGTGACATCCGACATATTTTGCGAAACCGAAGTAGCGGCGCGGGGCTCAGTGTCCCTTCGAGAAGCATACTTACCGATTATGCGCGTGACGAAAGAGATCTTCGGGCGAATATGCTAATGCACGCGACGACATAATGCGAGGCCGATACGCCGAGGCAAAGCCAATTATGGCACGGGGACCCATCATGCCTGATACTCCGTTTTGCACGTGGGTCGTCCTCGAAAAATCTCTCTCTCTCCCTCTCTCTCCCCGTCTCTCGACACGGTCGCACAAAACGTAAAACGGCGAACGAGACGAGAGAAGGAACGAGAAGAGAGGGCCGCATAGACAACGCCATAGGCGGAGGCCTGGCACCGTTGGCCATTGTTCGAAAGCGCTATTTGTATTTATTTGGGCCCTTTGTTCGAGCCTTGAGAGATTCATGGTGCGGAAGGTGGGGCGAGAGAGCCAGAGAGCGGCCAAAGAGAAACAGAGACGAGAGAATTTTATTCGGAGAATGAGGCAAAGGGTAAGAGAGGTCCACTAGTCGTTACGGGACTACTCTGCCTTTCGGTTGAAAAAAAGCACGCGGCGCGAGAAGCTTCGGCCCGGTATCACCAGTGCATTTGGGCGACGGACGCACGAAGCTGATAGAAATAACTGGTAACCACGAGTAGCAAGTCATTTATTTATTTTTCCACTACCCTTGCTCGTAAAGCGTGGCAGCCGATAATTTTAATAGTATACTTTAGAAGTACTATACAGTATTATGTGACTTGATTACATTCTTATTGCTTTATTGACGAATATAGGATGTGTTAAAATTATTCTTGTTTAAATTTCTTTACTATTTCAAAAAAGTAGCAATTTCATCAAAGAGTTTGCGTGCACGAAAGAAGTTAAAGAAGCACGATAATCGCAGACGATAATTTTGAGACATTGTGGCATAAAGGCACCGCGATGTGAAGTTCTGAAAGTGCAAGTAGACCAAGTCACAAAATACTTGTCTTGTGAAGAACTAAGGTAAAGTTGTTATCGCGCAATGTATTACGAAGATTGCAAGATAGGATAAAACTAAAACAGCAATTAATCATGTGTGTAGAGACCAGAGTTGATATTCAAAGCAACACCTCCAATCGACGTAATCTACTTTTGACATCGGTAATAGAACAACTTTTAATGATGCAGTTTTATCGAAAGTCTTTTAAATTTGATTAATGCAGGTTTAACGTTTTTAAATATTTTTACTGCAAAATCGATGAGATTAGTTACGTTGATCGTATTCTGCAATTTTTTTGACTCGCGGTATCTTTTTTCCGCTCGCGAATAAGTTTTCGAGAATAAGCTTCGCACAATCAGTAACTGAAGGTGGGCCAGCCGGATTCGAACATCCAATTGCGAAAATGCGTTTGTCCCGTCGGTGGGGAAACTTCGCGTGCTCGTTGGTGCAGTGTGCGACGAGATGGCCCGGTGTGCGTGTATGTGTGAATGCATCTCGTGCAGCGGATGCAACTGCGAGTGGTCAGTAGCTCGCAAACCGAGTGACCGCTCTCTCTCGCTGCGCCCCGACGTGAAAGTGGCGCGCGCGCGCGAGGGAAAAAAAACAGAGCCAGTTTTCGCCGCGTCGTGAACTTTTTTAATTGCATTTCGCGCTCGAAATGCTCCTCGAGTAAAAATTCATCAGAGACAGATGGACCTTTTCGGACGTACAGATGTTGTGAAAATAGCGAATTTATACGTGAGTCGAGGCGCGATAAATGTAAATCGAAATAGATACAACATCGGTGAGACTAATTCAAGAGAAAGATTGAATTGACACAATCATAATGTGATCGTCGTGTATTAAGAGACAGTGGATTAAGTTGAATAAAATGTGAAATATTTAGACTCTACATTTGTTTTTTAATACTCAAAAATTGTGTGAAACTCTGTGAAATTTTCATGTTCAATAAAAGTACATTGAAAATACATTTTACATAAAAAACAATTTTTACTATATAGCACAAACGATATGTATTATGATATAATTATAAACTTACGTCATTTTCAATTTTATACTTAAGAAATTTGCAAATTGATATCTTTTGAAACGAGAGGGTTAAATCGTCGCTTTTTTATCTCGCATTGTCAAATTTTCCAAGAAACTTTTTTACGCGCGACAGAATGCGGATGTAAATTTATTTTTGGAGCGGAAAATACTCACAATGCGCGGAACAATATGAAGAGCCGTGACAGTTTCTTCGTGGACAGATTAAGAAAGGAAACGGAAGTTATGCCATAAGTTTTAATAACACATAAATAAAGACGA